TGACAGTCAAGTTTGATGATATAATTGCATCCGAAGTTTCTTAGATGACCTAACTATAAGATCTCATGACAAGTTATTGTTTCTCATAGCACATCATAATACATTTTAGTTACCCATGCATAAATCTCAGTTGATGTATATCATTGTCATGGCATATTACTATGCCTACAGGTATACTAGAAACTAAAAGTAGGTGTGTCTTAGCCGTATCTAAAAGTGAGCATCGATGTCATTGACAAAATTTGTTCGTCAGATATCCAGTCTATACTAGTCTTGAAACGGTATCAAAAGCCAATTCTCGCCTGGTCAAGGAAATCAAGGTTTGAACATATGAGCAAACTCAGTTAAGCTTTCCCAAAACCACCCATGTGGATTGAAGATCTCTGAAAAATTAAGTTCTGCATCTTAATAGTAAGAGACAGCGCCAGAGTCTTTAGAAAATTGCGGTGCCACCCATGACAAACTCTCTAAGCATTTTTTTAATTAATACTAATTTGATGTCTTTTTTTTACTGTCTGCTTACAGAAATGGACAGACAGTATCTGAGCAATTACAAAACTGTCTCCTAAGTCCTGACTACATAAATCAGCACGACTGGAACTAGTACTAGGGGCTTGCCTGTGTGATTACCATTTCTCTGCGCTGAACAGCTCATCATACGAGAGAATTTGCTAACGAGTTGGATACTCGTCAGACATGTGAGCAAACTATGTCTGGGCCTGTGTAAAATTGAGAAATCTCATAGAAGAGAAGGAAAAGAGATTTCCCTCTCGACACATGCAATGGCATTTTCTAAGTCCCCTTCCTCCTTCTCAGAATTCCATTTTGGCGAAAAAACGGATGCCTATCAGTAGAGCTAGGGCTTCAGATTCACTTGAGTCACAGGCACCAGCAAGACCGAGTAGCTGAGGGCAATGTTAACTTGGTGATAATGAGACATACAACCTAAAAATTCATAAAAAATGAGGCATACGCCCTAGTCCTGCCGGACCTAGATTGCCCAAGGAAATTTTATTGATGTTAGTTTCATGCCCTTGTTTTTTCCTTTTTGGATGGTTGTGTTTCCCTTCTTGGTTGAGAGCTCCATGCAATAGTCTACCACTGGTGTACAGATTTATGGCTGAATAGCCCCACAATTCTTCTTAGAGAGAGTCCATGAAATAATCAGGTTTTTATATCATCTATCATGGCTGGTCCCTCCCTGGATGTTCGTCAAAAGATTCGACAGTTATATTCTTGCCACAGAAACCGTAAAAACCAGCTATACAGAGCCTCCAACGTTTGAAGCCCTTGAGATGGAGGCGAGCAGAGAACCACTGCCAAAGTAGGTTTTCCACAAAGGATGGCCATATCCACATAAAAGCGAACTGATCATATCTAAGAAGCGAATAAGCAATTAACAACTGCACAACCTTTTCTTCTTCACCTTGGCACGTAATGCAGCAATTACGGCTTGCCATTCATAGGTGCTGGAGAAGGTCCATCTTTAGCACCTTGTCTAGAATGGCCAACCACACAAATTGGGCTCCCGGTGTGTTCAAAGCTTCCATGCTCTGTGTTTGATATAGGCATAGCATTCATTCCCCTGAACTACATGAGTAAAGCGACTTAGCAAAAATATACCTCCACTGACAAACAGCTAAATGATTGAATCTTCCAAGTTTTTGGGAAATAAATGTTGCCTGGAGTTCTATCAATAGTCTACGCAGGTACTCAATCTCTACGTCTTTTGAGTTGCCCTCAGAAAATTGGACACACACCACCTTATTCTTGCTTTGATAGATATAGGTCGGCTATCAAAATTTGAATGCACTGGTTGTGGCTGCCAACCATGGAGAACGCATAGCCAGTGTGCTCTGTCCAATCCATAGATCACTCCAGAAAATTGCCTCCCATTACAGCACCGAATCTTATCGGTCTTATGAAGTCTTCATATACGGCGTTTATACTACTCCATACACTTAACATTTATTGGACCACCGTGACATTTTTCAACTCTTCAAACATATTGGCTTGAGCCATAGTTCTCTTTGATGACATTTATCCACAGAAGTTCCATCTGACCAGGTTGAACTTCTCCTCTTTAGAAGAACCTTTCCAGAGGAATTCTGCTCGAATTCATTCACATTTTGGATTATGAATTTAGCAATCTACTCATCCATGTCGCATATTGCCTCTCAGATCTGTCAATCACCAGATCCCAAAGTTTCTCACAAGGTATTGACAATGCATAGAGCAAGTCCACGGTATTTGCCACGCACATTGTCTTTTCCATATCAACTTTTGAGGGATGTTTTAAAGGTTTTAAAATTAGCTAGACTAAGACAGTACATGGAATGCAAGTTTAGTAATAATAGGAGTAGAACGAGGAAGTAGTTAAGATTGACGGCCAAGAAATACCAAAAAGAGCCCAGTTTCGATATCTTGAGTCGATAATCTAAGAAAATGGAGAGATTGAGGAAGATGTCGAACATATAATTGGAGTTGGGTGAGCGAAGTGGACGTAAAATCATAATTTTATGTGATTGCCACATACCAATGAAGTTGAAGGACAAGTTCTATAGGACAGCTGTGAGACCAGCATTATTTTATGGGGCGAAATGTTGGGCAATCAAGAAACAACATACAAATAGAATGAGTGTAGCTAAGATGATAATTTGAGATGGATGAGTG